GAGGACTCGTGGTTCGACGCCCGCCCCGCCCGCTCCGCTGTCCTCTGCGTCCCGTTGGCCGCTCCCACCTCCAGCCATGACGCGCCGCACCGGCCCCACTCACCCACTCCAAGACCTTGATGAAGCCCAGCGGCTCTTTGAGCGGGACCAGGTTCATCTGGAAGGCGGACATCCTCTGAGGGAAGGAGGGGAGAGAATGAGGACGGCTGAGCGGAGGAGGAGGGGACCCGTGAGACCAGGGCAGCTGGGCGGCAAGGACAGGAAGGCGGGGCGAGAAGGCCCCGCCCCTGGCCGCACCTGCCCGAGCCCGCTGACCCACTGACGAACTACGTAGAGGCAGGACGCCATACCGTGTACATCACGTCCGCTTCCTGAAGCCCGACCCCTGGCGTGCTGTCGCTTTCTGCGCACGCGCGCTCTCTGACCGGCTCTCCGTTTCCGGTGCTTTCGCCGCCTCTGGCGCTCGCGCACGCGCAGTAGGGAACCATAAGCGGATGGTTCTTTTCTATGTGACCCACCTCTTGCTGGCAGTACCCATCTTCTAGATGACTTCACGAACTGTTGACACAGATGAAGTGTTTCAAAGCTTGTGTTAAGGGCCTTTAATTAAAGTGGTGGAAAATTCTTGCAAAACAGTGGCCTTCTGGCGACCTGCACTTGGTAGGGTGCCTCCGGAACGTGACTCACTGAACATTCCTACAAAGATTGTTTTTTCTCAGTTATTGGAGCCAGAGTTGAAGGAGGAAATCACACCTATTAGCAGAAGTCCTGGCTGCATAGGCTTTTGATGGCCTATCTACCCAGTCTTCCTTGGGAGCTTCCTGCAGAAGGCAACTCCCTCAGGAGCTTCCTAGATGGTACCTCCTTTTGGTGCTGGGGCTCCAGCTGGCGATCTGTAGTCTGGCTTTTCACTACCTGCCATATTCTTGGACAGCTGAAATAGTGGCCTGTTCGTGAATGTGTTAAGATTGTTAACATTATGAAATACCTGGTAAATAAGAACAAAAGAACTTCAGCAAGCAAGAGGATCCCAACAGGTACTTATCTGTACAGTAATACATCAGTTCACAAACACTTCTGTTCCAGAATAGTTCGGTTGGTGAACAGAAATATTCAGCAAAGTCTTGCTTCCATTTTTAAACTCTGCATCAGGTGACGAACGCAACTGTGGCCATCTTCCATGTGTGAACATGAACTCAGTCATCTTCCCTGCTCTGACATCGTGGTCTTCTCTTTGAGATTGTGGTTATAGACAGACATATGTACACTTGCTGTGAAGTTTTTTTGTGTACTTTTTAGCACATCCAGTACTGTACAGTATTATTTAATCCAGCATGGCTCCAAAAAAGTGCAGAGCAAGGATGGTGGCAAAAACAGCAGAAACGAAGGTGACAATGTGCAGAAGAAGTTTTTGAAGAAAATAAACATTGTATTTAAGAAAGATGTTGTAGAAAAGCATGAACATAGTGTTCATGTGACTGATTTGGCCTTGGAGTACAAGATGGCGAAGTTGACAATCTCAAAAGAAAGAGGGTAGAAAAGCATGAACATAGTGTTCATGTGACTGATTTGGCCTTGGAGTACAAGATGGCGAAGTTGACAATCTCATCTATTTTGAAGAATAAAGATCCCATCAATGGGGCTGATGTGGCAAAAAGAGTAACAGTTAACTAAGCAGAGGACACAAGTGCTGGAAGAGGTGAAAAAACTTGTTAGTGTGGTTAAATGAGAATCAGCTGGCAGGTGATAGTGACTCTGTTCTGTGAAAAAGCTAGGCAGCTGCAGTGATTTACTACAAGAAAATCCCTCTCCACGTGTAACAAATGATGAATTTAAAGCCACTAGAGGGTGGTTTAATAAATTCTGCAAGACCAGTGGCATATACAGTGTAATAAGACATGGTGAGGCTTCCTGTTTTAACAAGGCTGTTGCAGAAGCCTTCAAGAATTCTCAGAATTCATGAATGCAGAAGGATATGTTGCTTAACAAATGTTGAACTGCAGTGAAATAGGGCTTTTTAGGAAGAAGATGCTGAACAGAACCTATATCAAGCCCCCTTAAGGAATGAATAAGTTGGGAAAAGGTACTGCTGGGGCAGAGTGAGCAGCAGAAGGCACTTGTTGAGCATTCCACTGAGAAAGAGGAAGACTGAGAAAAGGTTAGCAGTGATGTGATAAAATCCATTATGGTGAAATGGAATGATTTCTTTGAGAAGAAAAGCCAGGATTTCTTTGCGAAACACCACACCAACATGACTCTATTGAACAGAGTGTTGGAGCTGATGGAGGAATATGTGGTCTCTTATTTCTGGAGGGTTATACAGTTCCGGAAAAATTGACATTAAGCAGGTTTTTTAGGTCAAAATTTACCCTGCAGCTAAGAGACAAGAGAGGAAACCCATGCAAGTGATTTCCCTGATGTCCTTATGGTAGAGGAATCATCCTCCAATGAATAACATCCTCCCCATCTACCTTCCTGTCCTTTATATCAAAAGTTGCTTCGAGCAAGGTTAGTGTTCTCTCTCTTCACACTACTGTACTTTGTTCATATTTTTGTGGTTAAAAAATACATATGGTTCAGAATGGATTGATATTATGGGGAAATTTGGTTCAGTTCATAACCAGTGTGGTTCATGGCCAGAATAGTGGAATGAATTAAATTTGTGAATTGAGGTAACACTGTATATGGTAAGTGCCACTGAAGTAATCCCATCAAGGCAGCTGTTCTTGAACATCTTTCTTGTAAGGCTAACCTTCCTTCCATCCCTTTCTCCCCACTCTGTGCTGGAGATTAAACCCAAGGCCTTGTGCATGCAAGGCAAGTACTCTGCCACTAAGCTGTACCCTCACCCTAACCCGGTCTCTTTTGAGGCCTGTCTCTATGTTTGGTTCCCAGAATGCAACAGGAATGTTTCCATTTTGGTAGACAATATATTTATTTTTTTCCTGTCTCAAATCTTGAAGTTCCCAGCACATTGCCTTGAGTTCAGTGGCACCTAATGGGTGAATGCAGATTCCACTTATTAAGCAGGCATTGTAGATGCCCCTGTACCTAGGTCAGTGGAGGGTGACTGCTACCCAGTGCACCTGAGACCAACATGAGCCTAGTCCATGTCTTTGAGCCTTCGTGTTCTCTCGGTCTCACTCTTTCTCCTTTCCCCCTCTAGTATTTTTGTAACTTCCAATATTTCCCTTTTTATTCTCTTTAGCCTTTCTCCTAAACCTGTACTCCTGTTCTGTCGAGGCTTGTTGAGTAGGCACCTGGAGGTGGAGTAACAGGCAGGATTATTTAGCTTGAGGTTCGTGTTCAGAAAGATTCAACTTAGACTCAATGTTATTTCCAAATGAGATAGACAACAGAATGATGCACACTTTACAATTTTAGTTAGTAAGAAGTTTGAAGGTCCAAAATAGTCAGGGGCATGGTGGCATGGGCTTGTAGTCCCAGCTACTCTGGAGTCATACACAGATGAGACCTGCTTAGTGAGATCCTGTCTGTTAAAAAAAAAAGGGGGGGTGGGATCTGAAACTCATTTTCATTTATTGAAGGTTTCAGAAACTGAAATTCACTTATTGAAGGTTTCAGAAACTGAAATTGGATGAGCCCTTTCTGACTTTGTGATCTTTGCTTTGTGTTGCTTCTCTCCTGCCTTGTCTGCTTTCTCTTCTGCTTCTTGTTCAGTTCCACCAGTGGGAGGCCTGGTGGCTGTTTCTCCTCAGGAAACCTTTAGTGCTAGATAGAGCACACCCTAGAGCTTTAAGAAGCCCCCTTCCTTGGCCCTGTGCCACTGTTTTTTAAAGGTAGTGACCACTTAAGGTGAGCAGAACCAATCAGGTCACTTGTCAGGATTCACTCATGGGAACCACCTGAGTCCAGCCAAGCAAGCGTGAGCCACAGCATGACCTTCAGTTATGTACAGCCCAGCACTGCTGCTGCCAGTCAGTCAGCTCAGGGGGCACCTGCCTTCCTGAAAAGGAGCTGGCAGTGGCTGGCAGAGCCAGTGACATCTGACTAGGCAACATGATAGTTGTGAAATTATTTTTATGTTCGCATAACAGAAGTGTTGAAATAATACCATTTCATCAAAGTCACAACTGTTCAAAATCTGTGAAGGACATTCACATGACTGTACCATGCTGACTATGATCCTGGTCATTTTTTAATTTGTTGCTCAACTCTAAGGAAAGAGCTAGAAACTCTGAGCACAACATGTTCCAAATGTACCCACCCCCATTATGAAATAATTCTTGTTAATGCGAAATTGTCACGTCTATCTGAGGTAGTGTTGCTGAAGCATGCTCCTTCATCAGTAGCATAACCATGGCTAAAATACCTATATAACTTGCCAGGGTTTCACTTTCTCTTTGTTGTGTACAAATCATGTGCCAGGTTTTGATACTTGTGATTTAAGTATGTTCAGAGGGCCAAGAAGGTGGCTATATTTAGGCAGTTCCTGTCACTGGCTAACTACAATATTCATTTGTTTTTCTCAATGGGAATAAAAAATTTCAGTCACTTTATTTGTAAGATTTTGTGGCTAATTCCCATCCAAAATTTTTCTGAATATATAGCATTTAACATGAGTATATTAAAAAAACCTGAGTTTCCCTTATACACAGATAGTTTTTCTTTTCACTAGTGAGTTGAACAGTCATTTTAGAAAAATTTTTAAACAACTCTCCATTTATCTAGTTTTACAACAGACTGATTCAAGATATGGGATATCTCAAAATAATTAAACCACAGCCTTTTAAAACTAAACTTTGAGTTTTAACACAGTAACGATGTAGCCATGTTCAGAGTGTGCATCTGTTTAAAAAAATAAACTTTGAATTTTAAAATTTGTCATAAAAAAGAAATTAGTATATGACCGCTGACTACAGAATTTTTCAAACTTCATCAGTTGTCTGTTAATGTGTTGTACCACTCCAGGATCCAATCCAGGAATCCACATATAATCTCATGAGGTCTTTCTCAAAGGAGTGTTCAGGGTGGAGGGAAACATGTAAGACAAAATCTTTTTCTATTCTGTTGAAAATGGGAAAATGTGCACAAGAAGAAATCAGTATACAGCAACAGATTGCCCTGAGCCAGAAGCTGCCTGCTCTGTGGTGCTGGAGTTTTAGTGTCTACCCGTTAGGATACTGGTGTCCAGACCACATAGGATAGGTTCAGATACAGACCTAAACTTGGGGCTGCTCTCACAGCCCTGCTCCCTGCCTCATTAGAGTAACTGTGGTCCTCCAGAGAGTCCCTTAAGCTTCTGCTGTCTCTCAGAGTGGGTACAAGTGAGTGATTAACATCCAGTTGTGTTGTCAGAGTCCTGGGGTGAAGCCCTGCTTCTGCCCTGTGGCCTTCCAGTTGTTAACCTCT